AAGTAATACGTGACCACAGCTGTCAGATAGATCTAGTGACGTAATAAGAAACAATATTCCCACATGAAAAGCTTCTTTGAAAAACTGTGAAAAAAGTGAAAGTAGCACAGGATTGTACTTAGATAAAGCTGAGTAAATGTACTTTGTTACTTTTAAAGGTTGCCACTGTAGTCCCTCATTAACTCTAACACTGTGACAATTCAAAACCTGGACAGACAGTTTGTCTTCACATGTCACAATAGATTGAGTGTTTTATTTATTTTGTCACCTTTGTCCTCTAATAGCGTCACTGTGGGTGTTTTTAAACTGCACCCTGATAAAGACACACTGACATTTATGCAGAGGAAAAAATAAACCTCCTTTGTCTCTTGTTGTTGCGTTGTGTTGGCTACAATTGCTGCCTGGCTCAAGGTTAGCTTGCCCTGCTGTCTTTGTTTTTCTCTCAACCTTGGAGGAGGACTACATATGTATCAGTGCCATTCCAGTCAGCGAGGGAGGAACAGATGGAGGCCAGATTTATACTATCTGTCGAAGGATAATTATGCTCAATGGAGAGTACAGTTAAAAAACACGATACAATCTGATTTAAATGTGATTTTTACAATTAATAAGTTGGTGTTTTCCACGTGTCCTCGAGCTATTCTTGACATAATCTCATATAGCTGATGAATATTGTAACCTGCGCTGTTGTGCTAAATTAAGAAAACAAAAGCCAAGCTGTCACTCTATTACCAGAGATTGATTGTCCTTCCTCTGAACAGCTAAGTGGTTCTTGGGAGATACTCTGTTATGTGCCAGATGAGAGAGTGAAGATCGCATTCATCAGATGTCGGGCTGTCTGAAAGAGAGGGAGAAAGAGATGTGATAGACACGGAGTCTCTATTTGAATATGATGGAGCTCTATTCCGTCTCTATTTCCAGCCGGCTCTTTATCTCATGGAGAGCTGCGAGATAAGGAGGGATTCCAGGCTGCTGTTGTGTGGGCCCGTTGTAGGACTGTAAGCCCGCACCTCCTGCTGGTGCAGAGGAGCCACTGCATTTGATGATCACCCTGTCAGGGTTTGACAGTGCAGGAAACTGTTTATTAAGGAGGGCATGAATCCAGCTGGAAGATAATTTTTCTAAGAATGACAGAGAACAGTTTGCATTGTAATATGTGGAAAATATTAGGTCTATTTAAAATTTTTGCAGTGGTAGCAGATCCTCTGAACTGTAGGCTCATGGTCAGCTTTACCAACATAAAGCCAAAACACTATTATTAAAACATCAGCTTTTAAAATAAACAGCCATGACTTCAACTTGACTAGGATGCTTTTTTTGTTTATTCAGTGGAATTTTTCCAAATAATAATAACAGTCCTGCATTCAGATTTTTAATTAAAAGTATTAGCATAAAAATATACTATACATAATGGACACCTTGTGTTTATTGTTTTATATTATAATAATTCTAGATGCATTAATGTCTATGTCACTTTAATGTTGCAGCTGGCAAAGATGGAGCTTATTTTAATGCCACACAGCTAAATAGCTTAATCTATAATATTTCAATAATTTATTTGTTGATGATATTTTGTATTAATAATCTGAATCGGGAGACTAACTAAATGTATTAAAAAACATTTGCAGAATAAATGTATAGAGTAAAAATGGAAATACTCAAAAAAAGTACAAGCTCTTCAAAACTGTACTTAAGTCCTTGAGTTACTCTATGATCCTTGAACTGATATTAAAAAAATAACTCAACAGAGTCACAGTTTTTACAGGACAGATGCAGATTACTGTTTGAGCCATATCAGGCTTTAGGAAAAACTCACACAAATAACATGATGTTTTGGCTTATTGTATTTTTCTCTTCATCAGACCTGTTCGATGACTTTGCTGAGGGGCGAGAGTGTGTGAACTGTGGGGCGATGTCAACCCCCCTCTGGAGGCGGGATGGCACGGGCCACTACCTGTGTAACGCCTGCGGACTGTACCACAAGATGAACGGCATCAACAGACCTCTTATCAAACCTCAAAGGCGGCTGGTGGGTGACAGCAGAGCATGTTTCAACGCACAGTGTGTCACAATGTGTCTCCATTTTTTTAACTGGTGGCTTGGACATATTTTATACTCTGCAGTCTGCCTCGAGGAGGGTGGGCCTGTCCTGCACTAACTGTCACACCACCACCACCACCCTGTGGCGACGAAACGCAGAGGGAGAGCCGGTCTGCAACGCCTGTGGCCTCTACATGAAACTCCATGGGGTGAGAGAAAAAGAGGGGAGGGAAGTGCTCTGATGCTGTTGAAATCTTGTACTGTATATAACTTACGTCTGTAATTTCTGAAGGAATCTGAGATTATGCTTTGTAAATAGAAACACACACAGAGCATCTAAATGTATAGAAATCAATAAAGTAAATATACATTCAAGCACGTTATTGGTGGCCAAGTGCACACCATCTTGTGATGACGGAACTCTGACCTAAAATGAGAGATTCACAAAAAAAAAGGTTTTGAAAATTTATCTTGAGGACAGGAAACTTAACTTATCTGTACAGTTTAGGTCCTTTTTCACCTCTGAATCTTAACTTCACCATTTTCACTTTACTAAAGGTTATTCCTTCGTTTTGGTGTCTTCTTCACAGGTACCACGACCCCTGGCTATGAAGAAGGAGGGGATCCAGACCCGCAAACGCAAACCCAAGAACCTCAACAAGCCCCAAACTGGTGAGCTTCATGACCACATGTGTTTTTGTTTGTGAATGCATAGATATTAGACAAGCAGGAGCATAGCCAAATCTCACGTAGAAGAGAGAGCTTAGGTCTCCTCTCCCCAACATCCACAACCATTATTATTCTATCTTTGATAGACAAAAATGGGAGTAGGAAAAAACCTACATTTAAACCCTGTTTAAAAATCGAAATTGAAGCCCTCCCTCCCTTTTACCCACAAGTACTTGTACATTTCTGAGAGTATAGTGCATTAAAGGGCCCATTCACATATACTGTCTGGGAATGACCTCAGTTCTGTGCTCCACAGGGAGCCCAGGTGGTGAGGGGACTCCAGTCACGCCAAGCAGCACTCCCCGTGCCTCCGCCGCCACAGAGGAGCCTCGCCAGATAAAGACAGAGCCGGACACTCACAGCTTGTACTCTCATCATAGCGTACACACACAGGTTAGATGCCTTTTTAGTCAAATTTTAGAGAATATTTATGTCCCAAATTGTTTTTAATAGTTGACAAAAGAGGTAGAGGCTTTCATTGCTCATTACATTCAGCTGTAACAGTCTAATAGGCCCAGAAACAGTTAAACTGCTGTGTAGACACAATTATTATAACCCAAATTCTACAATATGGAGTCTTATTTTGCCCTTATATTTATAATTATTTCACATGCCAAATAATAGGACAAGGAAAGTCCCTATGTATGATTGTGATGTAAGTGGGTGGTGATGCCAGTGCCAAGAGGCCCTCATGGAGGGCCCACTCCCACTGCACAGAGATATTCCGTATTGGCCTTCTCACCGTTTTCTTCTGTATCCCTCTAGATTTCAGCCCTGCCAGCTTACATGGCAGCTCAAGGTGGAGCCATTCCTCTCAAGATGTCCCCTGGGGGCCACAGCGGGTCTTCTGGCTCTAAAGCTGAGCCCTGGAACAACCTTATCCTGACCTAGAACCCCTATGACCCACCATCTCAAACCAACTTATCTACACCGGTTATACTGTCCTGAGAGGCAAGCGTCTCCGGATAGCAGACTGCCGCTCTGGATGCAGATGTTCCCACAGCCTACACACCGCACAGTGTCTTCAGTACGACGCTCTGGGACCAATATGTGAGCACCACGAAGGAAATGGAGATCTTAAACAGATACTGTGTGTTCAATCACAGCAACCGAGGAGTGAACGGATTTTGACAATCATTAAAGAGCAGCACTGTGATTAAATACAACAACTCTTGATGTGAAACAATTGAAAAAAGGGAACTTTTTTGTGTCACCTTTTCTACCACGCCAGTACGCATGTGTAAAAATGTAACATAAACCAGTAACAAATAACAATTAAGGCCAGACTTTTTCTCCTTGAATTGTTTTAATTTTAATATATTTCATTTTCACATTATTATGGAAGTTTTGGCATTCAATGGACTCACAAAACACATAAGAAGTCACAACAGCACAACTTAATGCCAAAAGTAGCGGCATACAGGAGCTACAGCAAGTGTACTTAAAATATCAGTTCACATTAACCACAATATGAAACCACAATATATTTTTAGGTATTTTTATCTCTCACAAGTGGTTTTAACTTTATACCACATTGGAATGGAGGTGAATGAGATGTTTGTTTGTGGTGCTAAAAGCATTGAAAATTATATTTAAAAAACACAGAACAAACAATGTGCTGGCTACTACATATTCCGCAGACCTTCAAAGGTGGTGAGGTCTGTGTAGAGAATCTGGTCAAGCACTTATTACAATTGAGTTTTTCAAAGGATGTCCATTAGTAGAGCACCACTCACTAGCATGTAGTCATCTTAGTTGTAGGGCGGCTCAGTTTGAAAATAAAACTCTTTGTACAGCAAAATACCAGCAAAGGTGAATGGAAAAACACGTATGTGATTTGTCATCTGTGTGGACTGACCCTTTAAACATTTCCCAAAATTAGCAGTGACAGATTACAGTCAGGTATTATTTGTGATATACTCATGAGTGTTATGTACATATGTGTGCATCTAATTCCGCAAGCTAAACCAGGAGCATTTCTTACTGCAGCTAAAAGAGAACTGCTCAAGACATTCATCACTCCTCAACACCAGTGATATGAACTTCAGTAAACACAGTCTCCTACTCAGTGCAATAGGAACAGCTCCCTGTTGTTTCTGGATCAGTTGCCTGAACTGTGTGTTTGATTTAAACTATGACCAATACTTGTCAGTATTGACACCTCTATCAACAAATACATGATAAACTACCTATGTGGCAAGTAAGTTGCACTTGATGAATGTGGGGTGGAAGTGATGGCCCACAGCTCCCTCTGCTGACACAAGTGCAGATGTGCCTCCACAAGAAAACTTGCACATTCTTTAATACTTTCAAAAATCCTGCCAGTATTTATTGTTTTAGGCTCAACCCCAAGCCACACAATTATCATTCATTAGCTGAAGGTTTGATAAACCTTATGAAGATGTATTGTATCAAGATTGTACAGTTTGTTTATTTGATTGTGGCAAGCATGGAGGCAACATGTGTAAATGTGGTTTATTGCTACATTGAATTTTCCAGAATAACAAATATATGACCATATATGCAAAACAAAAAACAACTCCACTCCAGTATAATTGTAATACACTATTTGTGATATATTGTAAGTAAAGACACAGTGGGAGATGGACATGTATGTGGACTTTCTCGGTGTGCACTAACACCACCTGATGTCCTCCCTCAGTATGCAACTGTAGCCTTACTGAGGAAACTAATAAAGACAAAGCATTCTGACATAATGCAGTTGGTAGGTATGGTGTTTGGTGTCATTCACGTCAAACGCATACCAAACATTTGTGAAATATTTAGTCTTAACTTTCTCATCACCTTGTCAGCGAGTTTATTTTTTGACACCTTGTGGGGATTTTTCTGAAAACTGTATCCTTCCAATTTGTAAGTATTCTGTTGTGAGCTTTAGAATATCTTTGATAAAAAGCTGGATGGTGCATTGGTTGAAGTCTTCAGTCAGCTTCTCCCTGGTGAACTCGGCATATTTGTCCTGTACCATCTCCTTCCAACACTGTTGAAACGTGAGTCTCATGTGATCCTGGATGGCGTGAGATACTTGGGAACTAAAAGTGTAATCAAATGCAAAAGCCTGTCCCTTTTCTAAACATTCCTCAAAAAATCCACTTTTTTCTGGAAGCAGAGCCTGTGCAGCTTCGATCACGGCGTTCACCTCCTCTGTGAAGATTTTTTTCTCTTCTTCTAGTTTGCATTCAAAAATACTATGCATACTCTTGAAGTAGCTCTTCCAGTCCTGCCCTTGCACAGTGTTTATCATAGGGACACTCACAGATCTCAGGAGGTGTTTAACAGCAGAAAACAGATTTTCACATAAAGGTTTAAGATCAGTGCTCTTTTCAGCTGCTTTAACATAGCTCTCATAGTCCTCAGTCTGATGTATACAGTCCACTTGGCTGTAGTTAATATCCCTGAACAGATTTTCCTTAGCTCCTCTGAAGCCCCAGCACTTCACATAACCAATGTGAGTCTTCACTCCATGCGCTCTCCACCACTCCTGAGCTTTCTGAACCAGGTTCAGCATGCATGGATCTGTGTTTCTAGCCAAACACGGACTGTTCATGGTGAAAACATACACCTTCCAGTCTTCTGAGACAGCCCCTGTCTCCAGAAGTTCCTCGGTTTGTTTAATAATGACGTCCTCGCTGTGTTCTCCGTTGTTGTAATTGGGGTAATAAGGTCCGTACATGACAATCTCCTCCTGTTTCTCAATAACAGCCCATGAATGCTGCTTATCTTCTGCACCACATTCCTCAGTTATGTCACTGTGAAACTCCAGAAATTTCTTGTTGACTGAGTCGCTGAGGTAAATGTCATCAGTGGCTTGTCTGTACTTGAGGCGCTCCAATACGTTATTCACAGAGTGTTGTGTGTCAGCCCAGGACGAAATCTGCTCAAAGAAGCTGTCAGCGTCAGTCAAATGTTTTGTTCCTCCATTCACACAGGCTTCACATGTGCAAGGGTGTCCACAGCTTGTCCTGTAACACAAAGATATCTCATCGTAAGGCATAAAGGTTTGGTTAATTATTCCTTTAAAATAGTTTACAATTATTTGTTAAAATACTCTACCATGATGTATTTTTCACAACATAAAATACTGTCTGACTTGTGTAATGTAAATAAGAGACAACTTTCTTCACGATTCCTTCAAATGGTTTCAAAGGATATGTCTTGAATAATATTTACCCATCAGGAGAGCTTATCACAGCTCAACATTTCATTGACAGCAAAACAAATGTGTAGAGAACGCGACTCGATTAAACAACTGAATATGTTGTATGAATATGTAAAATGAAAATTATTCTAAGATAAAATACACTTGCCAAAAACAATAATATATACCATATAAATCATTAGGGCTGACCTGAATAGTCCAAGATTCGATGCTTCGATGGGCGGAGCCTGATTCGACTGTCAATCTCACAGTCGAAGCGTCAGCGAAACGAGGATCATGCCATTTTGGCTATATCGGGGTGCCCAACGTCCGATTTTACATAGAACTACCACTTAACTAAGTTAATATACAGTAGGGCTGCAACTAACAATTAATCTATCGATTATTGAAACGATTAATCAACAATTTGGATTAGGAATCGCAAAATGACACAACCTCACAAACCTGAGGTTGTTTTAGGCATGTGCCAATTAACAGTCAAGACAATAAAATACTGCCTTCAAATATGCATCTTTTAATGAACGTTTCTGCTGCAGCAAAAGAAAGGTCCACTGAAACCATGTCCTGATAAGCAGGACGGAGCAGCTTTCACGCCAATACTGCAACCCCCCCGGGACAAACTGACACTGTATACGAAGAAAGAAATAACGTCATGCATTTCATTTGCCAAATTTACAAGAGGGGATCAATAATAATAATTTTGTATTAGACAGCGTTTCACAACAAATTTAGTTTCCCCTAAAATCCTCCGTGATTTTTTTTAAGGGAGTTTGGGGCGGATTACCCGCCGCCTCACGCACAGGAGAACTGTTTTCTCTTCTTTAGAAAGTATGAAATTGTCGGGTGTCTAATCTTGTTCTCCAGCTGGGAACATCGCCACGAGTGATGCATTGTTTATGATTGTAAAGTCAGGGCACATCTGGAATGTGAACGTGGCCGTTGTGTATCATAATTATGTGCTACTCACAGCACCATTACTGTAACAATCAATCAAATTGACCAACTGTATAGAAAACGTTTCAGCTCATAACGTAAAGTAACACGGCTTTAACGTGAAGCTAGCTCGCTAACTAGTTTACTGAGACGAGTCTTCATCATCCACAGAGACACGACGTTACGCGCCTCCTCTTCAGATGCTCCGGTGTTTCCAGGAGAGCTCAGCTTTGCTGCAGTTCACAACTTTTCTGGCTGTGCGAAGAGTGAAATGCTGCCACACTCTGGAGGTTTTAGGTTGTGAAGGTTTTTACTGCAGCGCTGATGTTGTTTTAGTAACTTTAACGTTACTGTTCACATCACTTTACTCTGTTAAGCTGACGGTGTCACTATAGCCCGATGAAGTCATGAACGAATCAATCGTTGGCAATGAATTTAATAATCAATTTTTGTCGACTACGTCGATTAGTTGTTGCACCCCTAATATACAGCCTATTACAATATACATTTAAATTTTTAATGTTGTAAATAAATATGTAAAAAGAATAAAACTTTCAATAAATGTTTTTGAAGTATGTGAATAAATCCAAAATTGCAACCCTAAAGTGCAATTTATACTTCTGCCTCAAATCAGCGGCCTAGGTGATGGCGTAGGCTACGGGCTACGGAGAGGCTAGGCAGAGGCTACGCCGTCGCCTGACGTGCACCTCCTTAAAAATGTAACTACACGTTGAGTCGATGCGGACCATAAGCTCTGTGATTGGTCGGCTGGGTAGCCTCGCAATGCCTCCGAGCCGACCGGAAGTATCCCGCGCTTTGAAGTAACGTTTACTAGCAGCCAAAACGGCGGCTGTAACACAGTGAATCAATATATTTGACCGTCGCAACCCGAGCGAAATGACTCGTTTCGCAATCAGAATGTGATCCATTCGGTCGGTAACATTTGAAAAGGCTACACCAGCTGCACGTTTACAGTTTTACCCCCATTTACGTTAGCGGAGCGCTAAACCGGAAGTTAGCCTGCTTGGCCGGCAAAAGTCAACACAGTGGACGCTGTAGCGCTACTGCCGACTAGCGTTTGAGGGTGTAATTGCAGAATGATGGACACACCTACGCACAAGTATAAATGCATGGCTATGTGCGTAGCCTACGGCTTAAGTACGCACGTAGACCCTATGCAGGAGTATAAATGGGCCTTAACCCTGGGGCGTCATTGCACATGTGTAAGCGTAGCGTGGGGTGGCAGTGGAGGAACACTTGCTGAAGATGAAGAGACAGAGCCTCCACTTCACTGGTGTTGTGCCAAATTGTCCGAACCTCATGGGACTTTCGGATAATTTATCACCGTTGATGAACCACGTAAAGAATATTTTATTTATCGTTTTGCTGGCTACTTGAAAAAGACCCATGAGGAACCTCGACGTGCATGCAGTTGTCGGCAGCAGTAATGCACGTAAAACTGCACAAGACCGGTGAAGGACAGGCGAGAGAGAGAGCGCCTCAGTTTAGCTGGAAATTTACAGTGTAAGTTGAATGAAAAGAGACTGCAGTTCTGCAGCTTCTCAAGATTAAAGCGAGCTACCGTGTGTAACACCCCCCGCTCGCAATCGCTGTGCACAAAAAAACACACGATTCGTCTATAGGCAGGACTTGACGATTCTGACAGCCCTATAAATCATATAATATGACGTGCTGTAATACAGAGATTTTTGCAGCCCAAGTAATACCAAGAGGAACTGAAAATGTGATACCTGAAATATCCGCTGCAACACTTTGTTTAAGATGTTTCACACCCCATACGAACATGTGATTCTACTTCAGTTAGTACTTACTTCAGTCTGGCATGTTCTGTGGCTTGGTCAGTCTGATATCTGTCAAGTAGAGATTTCAGACTCCCCACACATTTCTTCTTGTACAGCAGAGGCTCCTTTTCATATCCATTAAACAGAGGCCGCTTACGGCTCAACCTGAATAAAAAACAGACTGATTAACATGTCAAATAGGATATTTTGAGTCTCTTAACAACTTCATGTCGTCTTTTCCCCTTATCAGATATGGGGTGCCTCAATAGTCAATTCTTGGACCCATTTTGTTCTACCTATACAGTATATGCTCCCCTTGGGTAATGTGATCCAAAGATATGGTATTTCTTTCTTTCTCCCTGTTAAACCCACTAACCTCGGTAGACTCAGCTCAGTTCAAACAAAACAGAAATCCTTGTCATTGGGCCCTAACATATTACAAAACTAATACTGCCATCTGGTCACCTGTCTCAACATATCAAGCCTGTTGCAAGAAATCGTGGTCTTTTATTTGATAGCAATGTCTGTTTCAAGCAACAAACCACCAAGGTTGAAATAATACAAAAATAGGATCTATTTCAAATTTCCGAGATGCAGAAACTGTTGTTCATGCTTTTATTTCCTCTCGCCTTGATTAAGCAACAGCCTTTTCTTTTGTCTTACTCAAAAAATTTGAAACGACTACAGACTGTGCAGAACTCAGCTGCTAGACTTTTAACAAGAGGCAAAAGGTATAATCACATCACACCTAGGATTGATTTTAAGGTCTTATTGATTACGTTTAAGGCTGCCCATGACCTGGCTCTGGATTATATTTTGGAGCTTTTAATTTCTTATGACCCTGTGCATAGTTTGATATCTTCGGTCTTCCTGATTCCAGGCTGAAAACTAAAGGGGACAGAGCTTTTGCTGTCTGGGTCACTTTTATCGGAAAATATATCCTGATTTTTATTTCTTCTTTCTCTCTGTGCCTGTGAAACACATTGTACTTTGTTTTGGTAAGTGCTCTATAACGTTTTATAATTACAATATATCAATTGGAGGATCAGAGAGCAGTTTATGTACAGTGGCTGTAAAAAATTAACCAAACACCGTGGGAAACACTAGTAAAGTAAAGGAATTTAAGAGCCTACATGTTGCCTTTAACTATTCCATGTTGGAGAAATGTCTAAGAAAACATAGTCAGAGAGATATTTGGATGCAAGGAAACGTCTGTTAGCCTCTTTTTCAGGTTAGTTTTTGTCAAAGTACAAACTGAGTTTACCCACATGGGAAGTTCCATCCTGACTCCTCCGCCCTGGTAGTTCACGAATCAGTCAATTAAAATGTGGCTCATCTTTTCTCTTGTAGGGTCGGTCATGTAGTGTAGCTCTGCTGACTCCAGATCACAAGACAAACAACTCTGACAAACTAAGCAACAGCAAAACGGTTACACTCTCAACATGTTTACTCAGACAACACCAGCACTGAGCTTCTGCACTTGGTAATGCTTACGGCCATATAGATATTTCATAACAAGCCAAGCTGCACAGTGTGTGTGTGTGTGTGTGTGCGTGCCTTTAACTGTTTCATGGTATCCTCCGTGCTCCTTTTTTCCAGTTTAGCAAGTTCCCAGAAGAATGCAGAGGAGATAACTCAAAGCCCACTTTGACTGACGTGCAAGATTTAAAAGCTTTGCCTTATAGAGTGAAAAGAGTGTAAGACAAATGAAAATGTCGGAGATGCTTCTGGTTTGTTTTATGGGTCAAAGTTTGGGAGGTTCGTCTGACTTGTCATCATCAGGTCAAAACTAGTGACATTCTTTTCAGCCTTAGTTGCACTTTGTGTTCGGTGTTAATTAGCAAATCTTTCCAGACAGGTTGGTTCAGACATTTTAGCCATCATTAACCGCTTTCTGTCAACTGTCATTTTTCCCCATCTTGTATTAAGCATGCTTCTGTTAACCCACTTTTTAAAATTCAACTTCAATATTTCAATGTAGTTAATCTCCTTTTTTAACAATAATGAAAAAAATATTAAATCAGGTTTCGGCTCCCTACACAGTACTGCTCTGACCAAGGTCACCAATAATTTGCTGCTCGCAGCAGACTCAGGCCCGTGCTCGGTTTTAATTCTGCTTGATCTCGGCTCAGCTTTTGACACTGTGGACCGTGATGTTTTAATAAACGATGCAGTCCTACTTTGTCCAGCTGAGACAGCTAACCAAGATCAGATCTTTCCTGTCCTCTGGTGAGACGGTCATCCATGCCTTTGTCTCCTCAAGACTTGGTTATTGCAATGCTCTGTATTCTGGTAGCAGTAAGGGAAACCTTCATATACTGCAGCTCATTCAAATTGCTGCCGCGAGGATTTTAACTCTCACTAAAAGGAGTGACCAAATCACACGAATCCTTGCTTTAAAAAAAAAAAAAAAAATTAGGCTCCTGCCTACGTCTGTGACCTGAGGTTGCCCTACGAGCTGGGCCGATGCCTGAGATCCTCCGGGAGGGCTGTAGCCTACTAATGGCTCTAAAATCATGTCTTGGCACTAAAGGTGACCTGGCTTTTGCTGTTCGGGCCCCTCAGCTGTGGAACTCCCTACCTGGTGATCTCAGGCATGCAAACTCAGAGGACTCGTAAATCTCTTCTTAAGTTTTACTTATATCATATGGCGTTTTCATAACCATTGTATAATTGTTGTCAATTCATTTATAATTTTAAGTTTGGAACTTGTTTGTTTCTGATGTACAACTCTTTGCAACTTATTTTTTTTACATTTTTTACAAATAAAGTTATTATTTATGATGTGTATGGTAAACATTCTACCTGCTAAACTTCAACATGTTGCCATTAACATTATAAATTAGCAGATATTAGCATTTAGCTGAAAGCACCACCACGTGCAGACAGAGAGAGAAAGAGAGGGACAGGGAGAAAGAATATTTCCTGGTCCAGTAGACTTTGGAGGTCCACAAACTACTATTATAATCAATATGCTATAAGAGATTATCCAACTATTCATAAAAAAATCTCAAGAGTTAAAGAAGGCTACCATTTTAACTGATACTTCCAAGTGGAGTTTTGTGTTCTTACATTGCTTGGTTAATTATTTGAGCTTCCTGAATCTTGGGCTAAATAAAATTTCCTTTTACTACTTTACTGTGTTTTGTGGAAAAAGCGACTATACATAATTTTATTCCATGAGCAGCACTTTTACTTAAATAATATAAAAGGGAGCTTTAAATGTGGAGTTTTATGGGATCATGAACAAATAAAGATAGCTAATAGATATTATTAAGAAGTCCCACACTATGCAAATTGTTAAGTCAGGTAGACAAGGTAATGGAACAATGTCAAGGTTTCTGCAGGTTTCACCCGGTCTAATTTAAGACTTTCCATTGTCAACCGCTTTTCCTGTGTACAGGGTGCAGGTCACCAATCCATCGCAAGGCCACACATAGTCAAACAACCATTCACGCTCACAATTTAGGGTCACCAATCAACCTAGTCCACATGTCTTTGTATGGTGGAAGGATGCCGGAGCACCCGGAGAGAACATGCAAACTGAGGCAACCGGGGTTTGAACCCACAACCTTCTTGCACTGCCCATAATGAATGAAATTTAAAACCTGTATCATGACTAATGCAGTCACAAATAGAGAGTAATTCAATGTATTCAAATTAGGGTACAGTGATGTCTACAAAACTGGCATCGGACAATGTCAACAATGAAACACCGGGATGGACGATGACATTGATAAGCTACATAATTAACAATCTGGCATGCGGTGGACCTGCTGATGTGAAAAATTGATCACCGGTAGAAAAATCAAGAACAAAAAAAAAATCTGTCTTTTTGGCGACTTTATAAAACTTAACCTACTGCTGATGGATAAACTCAGGGTTGCAGACAGGGAGACAAATCTAAACTACACCCCAAAAGCTAAACATGTCTACTGGGGTTGAATTCTAACCATTAGATCTGGGAAAATTCATTTGGTTAGTTTTGATGCTCTCACAGTATTTTACATTCATTGTGCAGCACCAAGCCGTTTTGTGCCTCACCACCTTATAATGGCAGGAAAACACATGACCTCAGAATTAGGGCTGCACAATATATCATTTCTGCATCGTCATCGCAATGTGCCCATGCGCAATAGTCACATCGCAGAACAGTGCAATGTCAAGCAAGTCAAATTTTTGCTACTTGATACAAAAGGAAAACTCGCACGGTTCTCATTTTCCATGACTAATCTACAAAGAAGTCTGACTGATGAAACAGAATTTACTCAGATTAAAGGGTTCTGGGATACCCAGAGTTTGTTGCTAGTGAGTGACAAGCAGACTCTGCATGCACAGCAAGCCACCAATCACAATATTGTTCCTGATCAGTTTATCAAACTATGAAAGCAGGCCCCGCCCCTGTCAGCTGTCCACTCCAAACCACTCAGAGAGCTGCTGTATAGCTGCTCTTTAATTTTTATTTATTATTTTGTATAAAATATGTTTACTGCATTAAAACTCAAGAAAGAATGGTTTGCACTCTTGTTTTCAGACTAAAAAGAAAATTTTCAGCTTTTTAAATTTTCTATGCATTTTCCCTACAAAATCACCCCAATAATTCTAGGATGCTTAATTCTTTTCAAATGGAGCAATCGAAGTCGTCTAGTGAAAACATTGCACATCGCAATATATATATCGCAATATATATATCGCAGAAAAGAAAAATATTGCAATGTAATTTTTTTCCAATATCGTGAAGCCCTACTCAGAATCATAACAGATAGGATTATTCATGTTTGCCTTGTGTCTTAATTTACTTCTTTATACATTTGTATAAATTAACATAAATAATAGGCAACATGAGAACCACCTCCCTTCTGTATTATTACAAGCATTTCATTTTTACATCAAAATCCAAAAGAATAATCTCATCAGCATAAAGGGACTAACGTTAGTTTGCATCCTCAGCTCCTCTGTAGTCAACACTGGCCTTTTTTAATTGATTTTGAGTTGATCTTATCCTCTGCTAACTTTCACCATCACTTTCTGCCACTCTCTCACATTCGCTCATCCTTTGAAGAACGAGGAGAGGGAGACAACAATGCTTTGTGTTACTGTAGTTTACTGAAAATCATTAATGATCGTGTGAAATTTTGGCGCTCATTCATTAAGCAGCGACAGTAGGCTTCAAATACGTTGCTAGAGACTGGTTTTAAGCTTTAAGATTCGTTTTTCCATCTAAGTAGGGCTGTCGCAAGGGTGAAGTAATTTCCACCGTGGCAATATGTTGGGACTCAACAGTATGCGGTATTATCGCATATTTCATCAATGAAGTAATTTGGTGCCATATAGCACGGTAAGAGTGTCTGTAACCTCACAGCGAGCCGCGAACAGCAGCTTTATGGTCGTATCAAGCTAGCTGCTGGGTGCTAGTCAACAACATTGCCAAGCAAACTCCTTTTTGTAGTTTGACCGTGTCTTTTTCACATGCAGCTATATCATTACCTTCAGGGCACATATATCAAGTCAATTTACATACGCAGCAAAACACACGCACGCCACGGTGCGGAGCCGAATGGTTGTCCGCAACTAACTACTGCACTGTGGTAACATTATAACTAAATTTCAACAGAAAGAAGGCAGTGGTGGAGCAGAGGAGTTGAAGGCAGCTTGGACAGGGCCAACGAACTTAATGTGTTCTTTGATACAGATTTGATACTATGGCTACTGCCCATCCCCCAACTAACTCAGCTGCTGTTTTCCCTCAAACACCTTGTGGTGTCCCAACGATAATGCTGCGATGATGTGTTGAGAAGAAATCCGCTTGACACTGTTCTTGATTATAAAAGTTTATTACATCAAAGTATTCAGCATCAATTACAAGCTCTGCAGCAGCTTGGAGAGTGACCCAGCCCGATGACCACTCTGTCTCTCTGTACATCGAACACAGCTTATATAGGACATGTTTAGGTCTCTGCTAAATACCATATAAGGGCAAAGTCCCTTCATAGACACTAATCTCTACTCCCCCTACCACTGGGTCAGAGGTCAAATTCCATAGAAGGGTTCACTCTTTGCACACCCATCAATCATTACTTCCCCTTAAGGGTTCACTGTCCCCATAAGGGTTCACTGTCCCCAGCTACAGAGCATTATGTTAAACTGTAATGGTCAAATGCACATATGTTATACACCACAACCTCAAACCCCACTACTCCCCCCCCCCTCCTCACTGTCCCCCACCTGCTGTGAGACCCCAACCCCTCCCTCCGGCTCTCAGGTTTTCCGCTCTCTCCAGCCTGTCGACTCCTCCTCTCCCCCTCCCCGACATGTAACCTCTGTGTGCCTCACTGCTGACCAGGTGAGACAGCTGTGGAGACTCCACTCCAACAAGGCTTCAGGCCCTGATGGTGTCCGTCCCAGGGTGCTCAAAGCGTGTGCCCCCCAGCTATGTGGAGTCCATCACCATGTCTTCAACCTGAGCCTGTCTCCAAAGGGTCCCTGTGCTGTGGAAGACATCTTGCCTCGTGCCTGTGCCAAAGACGCCACGACTACAGACCCGTGGCACTGACTTC